ATTTTTAAAAAATGTTTTAAATTGAATTTTAAAAAATATTTTAACATTAGTTAAATGCAACATCAACCTTTCAAAATGTCCGTGTGAGATTGTCATTGTCTAGCGCTTTGAAAATTGTATAATTTGGACCAATCAGATTAGCCATGGTAATTAAGAAATGTAATTTTTGTGCTTATAGTCGGACATAATTATCAAGTACGGAAGACCAACCAGAATACAATTTAGTTGCATTATTTGAGTTCAGCATTGTTCTCCGCTGTTAAGCCCTTTACTTTTGCGAAACACGTATGGAGAAGTTAATTTGAGTTTTCAATTTCAACTGAGAAGGGTACCTACAAGTAACAGTATCATCTTATGAAATTTAACTACTGCTAAACTTTAATTTATATGATCTTATTTTTATATTAATCTCAGTTATGACATTTTTCCATAAAAGAAATATCAAAATTAATAATAAAATGAATGGAAATACAAATAACACAGTAAAATGTAATAAATGTACATAAAATTATAGTATTTTATGTCCACTTCTGATAAAATTTCATAAGAAAGGTACCTAAATTAATTAGATACCTTTTTCTTATGAAATTTAATCTCACTATTAACAGTCTTATTTTTTAATTTCTTTATATTTTCCATAAAGCATCGTAAACGTAAAAATGAAAGCTAAGTACAAAAAAAATAAAAAATAAAAAATAAAAAATTAGAGCGCTGAAAGTTTTCCTAAAAAGAAACGAAGTAAATAATTTGTTCACTTAAATAATTTCACTTCCTTCCATCCGTAGAAAGAATTACCCTCCCGTAAGTTATCTAAACGTCATGAATGTGCCTTTCGTCAATCGTCAAGCGACGCGAAAGGTTATGACCTGCTTTGTTTTATTTTCAAATTACATTTTTTCGGCGCAGAAGCTAAGTTAAGCTTGGTTCAAAATATTTTAAATAAACACTATAATATCTGTTTTTATTAAAATCAGTTTTGAAAAATGATAATTGATTTTTAAAAAGAATATCAAAGTAAGATTTTAATCTTTTTATCAAATCGAAAAAATGAAAAAAATTGATTATCTGTCCTTTTTGTGACCAAAAAAAAAAACAATATTTTTAACGAAAATTTCAGACGTGCTAGGAACGATTAAAAATGTAAAAAAATACTCCAAAAATACTTTGATCTTTCCTCTTTAATAATAATATGAACATTAGACGATAAAATTTTGTTTTCGTCAAGTTCGGCGTCTTTTTTTCATCATGCTATGCTCTTTTGTTTACATTTTCGTGGGTGAGTTGTCCCCCTTTCATTCTCACGATGTGTCTTAATCGTGTTTTCAAATTGATTTTCTTAAAAACAACTATGTTTTTTCCCATTTTGGGTGCCGTTAGAACCACCAAAAGGTAATTTTATGTAGTCCTGTGAAGTTTTGTTGAAATCGGCTAAAAAATGTAGGAAATTCGATCCAACATATAAACGTTACATACACACACACACATACACAACCTGCGTTTTATAATAAGTAAGATACAATCATTCCTGTCAAACCGTGAATTGAAGGTCGTTCTCGACGGATTTTCCTCCAGCTCCTATCCCGCGAACGCAGGTGTCCCTCAAGGCTCCATCCTAGGCCCCACTCTATTCCTTATCTACATAAATGACCTTCCTGACGCCGTAACTTCCCAAGTTGGAATCTACGCGGATGACACCACAATTTATTCCTGCCTCAAAAACAAATCTAGTCTCGCTGACAAAACTCACCTTGCCGTGCGTCTCGAAAAGAACCTCCAATCGATTGTGAACTGGGGCATGAATTGGCTGGTCAACTTCAACGCTTCGAAGACAAAACTGCTCTCTATTAATCACCACAGAGAGCCTTCCCTTCCCTCCATTAGAATGTCTGACGCTCAACTTCTCGAGAGTAACTCTCTGCGGCTTCTCGGTCTCACGTTGACTGCTGACCTGAGATGGAATAAATACATCGAATCAATTGCCTCGTCCACTGCGAGGAAAGTTGGCTCCTTGAGCCGCGCTAGGAAGTTTTTCCTTCCTGAGTCGATCCTCCAGATATACAAATCCACAATTCGCCCTTGCATGGAGTATTGCTGCCATATATGGTCTGGCGCCCCTTCTGTTTGCCTCGGGGTTCTTGCAATATGGTTGGCTCTGCCCTGGCGTCTTGTCTACAGTCACTTTCTCACAGACGCGCCGTCGCCTCCCTCTGTCTGTTCTACAAATACTTTCATGGAAATTGCTCCGAGGAGCTGCATTCGCTGCTTCCCAGACGTCATGAGTTCCAGCGCCCCACGAGGCTGGCACCCCGCTCTCACTCCTTCACTGTCGAAACTCCTAAATGTAGCCGTCTCTTCTACTCTAATAGCTTCATGTCTCGCACCTCTCGCCTGTGGAACTCCCTTCCCTTCTCCTGTTTCCCTGTGAGCTATAATCTCCAGCTATTCAAGTGTAATGTCAATCGACATCTCCAGTTGCCTTAATCTATCCACTACCCTCATCCTTTCTTCTATCACTCCTATCTGATCTTGCTATTTTCTGTAACCTCTTGTGTCCTAGTGGCTTCCTGCCTTGCTTGGGGTGAAACGCTTAAAAAAGAAAAAAAAAAAGAATATATGAAAGTTTTGGTAATGTGGTGGTTAAATGTTTCTGATATTTGCTTTTGTCTTGTTGAATGAATGGATTATTTTGCAAGTGATAAGTCTATGATTAAAAGGCTATATTCAACATGAGAAAGTGATATTTGAGTAGAACTTATCTTTGGTCTTCATTCCCGGAGTTGCCCAAATCCACGTGTTCTCTTGGCGAAAGGTAAATGAAAGGATGAAGAATCTAAATTTCCCGCAAGTAGGGCGGTTTCCTTTTTACTAGGGAATCATGGGTAATTAGTTTTTTTTTTCTTGTGATCGTGAGAGAACTACACAATTTTTTATTTCTCGTGATCGCGAGATCAGAACATAAGTTATTGTTTCAAGTGTGCGCAAGGAACATTGTTAATCCATGACGGGCAAGGGTAAGGAGCTATAATAGATATCTGACTTGAAAGCTTTGTGTTGCAAAGCCGTTCATTTGTTAATCAATTAATCTCACAAAATTGAAAATACCAGAGTTTCTGTCTTTTTGTCTGTTTTCTCTTTGACGAAGTTTTAATAAATGTGAATTGATATACGTCTCCTATTTGTATTTTATTTTATCATCCTATCGGATTCCCATCCATATTTGACCTGCATTCAATCCTTTTTTATATATATATATATATATATATTATATATATATATATATATATATATATATATATATATATATATATAATTTGAATTAAATGGTTACTTATCTTGTCTCTACGCTTTCGCGGTGATTACATACATTTTTCAGGTCTCTTGCAGAGTGGATGTGGTCTCCGTGAAACTCAGATTTTACCTACTGTTTGGGTCAATGAATATCGAATGTTTCCTTAGAAGGAAACATATAATATTACCATTAACATTTCCCTTGTTGTTTTTAAGCCGATGTTCATGAATGACCCAAATCTAAATCTAAAGCCCAATCATAATGTTCAGCCAATGTAGTTTAACATTCATCACTAAAATTACTGTTGTGAAATCAATTTTCATGTATTTCTTTGCCCAGCTTACACGTTTGTCTTTGTGATGTTTACTTAAAGGTAGTAGTTTGGTCGCTTTCATCTCGTTAACCAATGTTTTTAATATTTTTCATCATTTGTTTCTGTCTACATTCACAGTATCAGCTTCTTCAAATATTTTTTGCTAGTCAATCTACGTTCCTTGTTTATTACCCTTTTAATTTTTATCAACTCTGTTTTCGTGGCATTAATATAACCATTTTTCTGTCATTGGTAAGGTTTTTAAATTCCTTTTTGGTTGTTCTCTGATCTCTGCTCAACTTTTTCAGAAATTCCAACACTGTAATCCGATTGCTCAATAACTTTGCAATATCTAATTTCTCTTTTGATGATATATCTTTCTAACAAGCCATATATATCTGAAAATAAAAATAAAATATTTATGCTGTTATATACACCGGGTGTAACAGCAAAATTGTCCAAATCGTGTAACAGCATCCGATAATTGTCCATCCCACAAAATGGTTAATATCTAAAAAAAAACCACTAAACTAATTGAGTTTCTTTTTCCCTGGTTTTCAGATAACACGTTTAGTCATCTTGACACCATTTGTTGTAAGAATCACTGAAAAACTCTGAGTTATTCAGTTAGAAAGAGAACAGGTCATAATCGTTTTGTGTCAGCCCCATTATGTGTTGCTAACTGAGCAATAGTGAGAGGAAAAAATAATTCAGGCCTTCAGTAATGGTACCAACATTCATACTCTGGCTTCCATCTTCAAAATCCATTCAAGAACCATCAAGAGAACGGTGAATAAGTTTAAAAAAGAGGGAACAGTATAGAGTAAAACTGGATCAGGCGGTCACAACAGCAAGAGGGATCATCATTCCAACTTGGAGCTAAATACATTCTTATTGTTCAAATTAGAGTCCAATAGTGTTATAAAAACCTCGAAGAATTCCAGTAAGATATCTTTAATCATTTCTAAGATACAACGGTTCAAATATTAATCTAACAATTGGACAATTTGGCTTTTAAACAATGTGGACATTTTCCCTGTTACACCCGGTATGTTCATTTACAATAAGATGAATGACCCGTGAGTTGTTTAATAAATACTCACACGAATAAATAAGTTATTGTAAATGATTCTAATAAAAATCCACATTGTATATTTATAATTTTAGTATTAGTCTTTCCTGAAAATTTTAACATTGGATGGTTAATACCAATTCTATTGGGAAAATAGTGACTTGCAAGTTTATTAATGTACTGAAATTTTATCATTAATTTACCATTGTAAGGAAGCTTGAATATCGGAGTTCGAATTCCATTTGGAGGTGAGCAGTTTAAATTCTTATTGAAGATATAATATTCATTGGTCACGTTCTTAATCGAATACCATTAAATGAACATCATTATTGACGAACATTTTCCGTTTCAGAGAAAAGTGATGGACGTTTAATATGGTAGCCAAAGGGTGGAAGAGGGATGAAAAAACTAGGAGGAAGAAGGAGAATGCGAATTAGGAGGGAGGGAGTGAAGAGGGGGAGGTTGAGAAAGATAATATGGAAAGTGGTAAAAATGTTTGATGAAGGCGAGTTGATAGGGAGAGAGGAACAATAATAGGAGGAGGAAGGGAGAGATGAAAAATAAAAGAATTGAACTTCAAAAAAAAAAAAAAAAAAAAAGAAAGGAGAAAGCAAAGTTTCAATGAATGTAAGCAGAGGTAAAGAGAAGTTCAGTTAAGCAGGAAGAGAGGGAAAAGGCAAGAGGAAAAGAAAAGAGGTAAAAGGGGGAGGAGACAGAGAAACTCAGTTAAGCATGAGGAGAGGGAAATTAAAAGATGTAAAAGAGGAGCAGGCGAAGAGAAGTTCAATTGTGCATGAGTAGTGGGAAAAGGCAAGCGGCAAAGAAACAAATAGTAAAGGAGGAGGAGAAAAAGGAGAGTAAGCATAATGAGAGGGTAAATGTAAGCAACAAGGAAAGATGTAAAGGAGGAGAAAGAGTGGAAATTCAAGTATGAGGAGAGTAAAATTCGGCGGTAAAAGGAGAAGCAAGAGTAGCAGGAGAAATCTAAATAATAGAAAAAAATGAAGAAAGAAAAAAAAAGAGTATGGTCCAGAAAAAAAAGCAATAAAATGTCGAGTGGAGATTAAAAAAAAATAAATGTATGGAGCCAAGAGGTATTTGTAAAAAAAGAAAAAGTGGGAAAATATTCAGTTGATGAAGACATAGAGTATACAAGAGGTTGGAATTGGTGAAAAGAAAAGAGTGAATAGGGAAGGAAGAAGAATTAAGAGACGACGAAGGAAAATAATTGAGAAAATTTAGAGGAAGTAAGAATATAAATCTATAAAAAAATGAATTTTTTAAAGGAGGAAGGCAAAAAATACTGAAAGAGAAAATAGGAAATTTCAAGGGGAAGAAGAAAGAAAGAAAGAAAGAAAAAAAGAATGAAAACAAAAGAGGAGGAAGTAAGATGGGAAATAAAATGGTTCATTGAAAGAAACGGGAACAAAAGAAAAGAAAAAGATTCGACATTTTAATGCAAGGCAAAAAATATAGAAAGAAAAAAAAACCGAAACATTTAAAAAAGAAGAAATGTTGTTTGAAGAAAAAATAAAGGATAAAGAAAAAAATGGGAGATTTAATGAAAATTCTAGTGAAAAAGAGAAAATTAAAGATATGAAAGAAAAAGAATGATAAAGCAAACAGAAAAAATGGGATATTTGAAAAATAAGATGGGGTAACTGAATTCCCGAGTCTATTTGTACGTAAGTGAACGAAACAAACACGATAGGGATTCGAACGCGGTTCTCCGATTTCTCGTTCAATAAATTCAATCCTCTTTTCACTCCAAATAAACCTCCTACTTATTTTTAGTGTAAGTAGATAAAACCGATGTAGGTTCGTCTCCGCCAGTAGCTCTTAACCATTACTTTTCTAGTGACCCTTCTCAGATATTTTCGTGGACTGGAACACTGTCTGTTAAAATTACACTGATAAATAGAGAGTTAATATTGCGGATTTACGTTTTATTGCATTATAGTAACACCGCTCACTGAGAGGAAGCTGTGACGGAAATAGCTAAGCGGCGGTGACTGGATCAGATGATAGAAATTGCCGAACTTTCGCTTACAAGTTTTTGCTCTATAAACATATGGAAAATTCAGCTGACTATATCGAATCAATTACTACATCTGCTGCCAGGAAAGTTAGTTCATTGTGTCGTGCCAAAAATTTCTCGCCAAAATCCATTTCTCACATTTATAAATCTACCATTCGTTCGTGTATTGGATGCTGTTGCCATATCTGGTATAGTGCTCCTACTGTGTATCTCGACTTTCTTGACAAAATCCAGAGAAAGGTCTGCAATACTATCGGTCCTGACCAGGCATCTCGTCTCCAGTCTCACCGACGTGACGTGGCTTCCCTCTGCCTGTTCTACAAATATTTTCATGGTAACTGCTCGAACAAGCTCTTTTACATGGTGCCCGACTATATGAATTTAAACGTACCACTAGGTTGGCAACTAGGATGCAACCATAATTTCTACTCTAACAGTTTTTTCTCGTACTTTCCACCTGTGGAACTCCCTTCTGATTTCTTGCTTCCCCGATAACTACAATCTCCAAAAATTTAAATGTAACGTCGATCGCCATCTTCTGTCTTCTTGAAGCCTGTTCCATTTTTTTGCTCTTTCCTCAATCCTAACCATTTTCAATTTTTTAATTTACTTTCACTCTCTGTAACCTCATGTGTACTAGTTGCACTGTAGCCTTGCTTGGGGTAAAATGATTAAAAATGTATATAGGTAAACAGATAAACAAATGCGTATGTAATCTAATCAGGTTTACAAGAGTTAAAGCAACTTACAGCGCCTCCTATAACAATCATAAAAACTTAATGCCTCCTTGATATTACATAGCACCCCCACAAAGGGGCATTACCGTCTACTTTGAAAATGAAAGTTCTAAATGATAAATCAATTGCACTGAAAATTGTTGCCATATCTGGTCTGGTGCTTTGTATATATATGTTTCTCGAGATCCTCAACAAAATCCAAATAAGGGTCTGCAATGTAATCGATCTTGATCTGGCATCTAGGGATCAGTTACTTTCCCACAGCATTGGATGACTGACGTGGATTTCCGCTATCTTTTCTATAAACATTTTCATTGCAGTTATTCTAATGAGCTCTCCTCCTTGTAAATATTCACTGGGGTTTCATTTTTAAAAAGTTGTTATTTTACCAACACCCCCAGTACGTTCCCACCCAAACAAATTGTACATATGGGAACTAGTTAGGAGTTCGTAGAGATTTTGATGTATTGCGGTGGCTGTAATAAGAATATTGAGTAAGAATGTGTTGTTTTGGTGTATGGAGTACTGTGGCATGTTTAGGTCAGTAATTGTGGTTAGTTAAGTTTAAGATAAGACAAATTGAAGACCAGCCTTCACCTAATCCCTTCTTTAGGCTTTGTGCCACATTTTTGTATTTTTCAAAATAAATATTGCACTCCTTTTTTGGTACCCCAGTCGCGTGAATTTAAGGGTACGGCTAGATTGGCAACTAGGTCTTATCGTTTTAATGTTGAAATAGCTATGTAACCGTAAATTCTATTCTAATAGTTTATTTTCTCACACTTCTCACATGTGGAAATCGCTTCCGGTTTCTTGCTTTCCTCCCACCTACAATCTTCAAAACGTTAAATGCAACGTCATTCGCCATCTTCTGTCTTCCTGAAACTTGTTCTTTTGTTGTCCTTTCTCCTCACTAAAATCTTTTCATTTTTGTTCGCTCTCAGTAATCCCTTAGTGGCATTAACGCCTTGTTTGGGGTGAAATGATTAAAAAGCAAAATATGGTTATCTGCGACACCATTTTTTGTTTTAGATCGCTTACAGTTTAAACTATAACTATTTTGAATATCGGCTGTCGTGTTAAAAAAACCTTGTAGTGGAGCTTTGATAATTATTTTGTATGCTTCTAATTTGCTTTTAAAACGTCAAATTATATTATGGATAGAGTTGAGGTGCATTAAAACTTAACAATTCGGAAAATAAAATTTGTGAACCAAGTTCAATTTCTAGCTCTGGCAGTTAGTGTTTACTTTGCACTAGTACCGTCTGGAAAATCAGAATTTCGTCTCATCTTTTCTCATCTATCTATATATATATATGACTAGCAGTAGAGCCCGGCGTTGCCCGGGGATGTAACAGTAAAAGATAGATCAAGTATCGACCATCATAAAGACTGAAAAATAAAATTGACAAAGATTATTGTTTAAGGTTGACGGACACGCATGTCTTAATTAGTATTTTTTTTTTTTACGAATTGGTCAAACCCAAACTCAAACAACAACATTGTTTTCAATCGTCATGAGTCTACCGATTGAATAGAATTTTATTATAAACAATTGTCTTGTAAATGGAATTTTTAAAGCATTCTGAATGTAAAAATTAAAAAAATGTGCAAGACAATAAGAAACACTACCTGCCCCCAAAAAGTGAAGTTTTGTTGAAATCGGTTGAAAAATGTAGGAAATCCGATCCCATATATAAACGAACACACACACACACACACACACACACACACACACACACACACACACACACACACACACACACACACACAACCTGGGTTTTATAATAAGTATGATTAAATAGCAGGGCAAACTGTCCTGTCAAACCTTTGTTGGCAACCAGTATAGGTGAAGGGAAATTCGGAGTTCAAGACTATGGAGAAGGCAACAGGAGACCCCTTCATTATCTTTCCACTTAACAAACATGGCAATGCGCAGATTTACAGATATTAATTAAAAGGTAGCTGTGGACAGTCATGACTACCTACGTTTTGACAAAGCAAGCCGCTTAAAAATGCTATGTCGCATATTAGCCGACATAAGAATTAGTCAAATGAAATCGTATCTGTTGATGTCTATGCAAGTTATTTAACTCGTTACTGGTAGGTTGGATCTAAATTACGTAGTTCAGGGTAAGATAAAGTTAAATACAATATCTATCTATCTATCTATCTATGTGTGTGTGTGTATATGTATGTGTGTTTATAAACAAGTTTAACGAAATTCATCTGACGAGATCTATTTATTTTTTATTTATAGCATTTTTTCAATTTTCATATAAGATGTTGTATACCCAAATCAAAATTATGGATAAACTATCCCAATTCATGTTATGTTCGAGTACTTTCAACTATCACAGTCATTATCAAGAACTGGGTGTTGCCAGTATGGTAGAAAAGATTTTGTTGATTATACTCAGGCAATTTTTGGAATGCTATGATACAAAATGAATTTAAATATACGGGTATCGGTAAACGTCTAAATCGGTTTCCCAGTATATATATATATATATATATATATATATATATATATATATTAAAGGTAACAAATCCATTGATATATATTCCAAGTGGATCCTAGTAATATAAATTATTAAAACTGATCCACAAAAAGAGCTCAATGTATTTATTATTACAAACCAATATAATTAATAAATAATAAAATGCAAAATCACCTCATATGGGGAATAGCCTATTTCGGCAGACGAAGATATCGGTCGTCTGTCTTATCAACACCTTATTATTATATATACTGGGAAAGTGTATATTGATTCCTATGTCAACGCTGTCTCTTTCTACAGCTCTCTCTCTCTCTGTGTCTATAAGCGTCAAACTGACACTTTTCAGTGTTGATTGCTATGTCCACACTGTCTATATCTATAAAGGCTTTATCTCCAATATTAAGCACTCTTCCTTTAAAAATGTATCAAATTTAAAAATATCTATCTCTATATCTATATATGATAAGTTTACTTAACTTTTAAATATTAATTTCATCCCGACATTGATATTTCTTGGTAAAATTTCCAGTCTTCAGGGGCTGCGGTTTTAAACGGTATTTCAATTTTCCCAAGCTTGATATATATATATATATATATATATATATATATATATATATATATATATATATATAATGCATAATGCATAAAAGCTTAATTGTCGGAGTTAAATAAATCGAACAAGGAAACCGAAGTATTAGAAAGTGCTCAATAGATAGCGGATTCAAGTGATCTCTTAATTTTTAAAGTATCTTTCTCTCTTAATATATATATATATATATATATAATTTCCTACTACTTTAAACGTTATTTATTGGATATACATGTTAGAGTAGTTACCCTGTTTTTTGATTTAACAGTGTGAAGTACATCTACAGTCTGTGCAATCTAGAGACAATAAAGAAAATGTTCTCATCAGCAGGGTTCCAACCTGCGTCTCCATTTGTAGAAAAAAAACACTGTCTGAATATTGTGAATATTGAAGTCAACACTCAGAGGCGACAGACTGTCTCATGCTAAGCTTCTGAGTGTTGACTTCAATGTTCACTTTTATATTTAGATACGCTCTATCTCTGATATTGAGCACTTTATCTCATAAATATAGCACAGCTTAAAACTATTTTTCTTCGTGTGTGTG